TGGGTACGTAGTGAGACTGTGTTTCAGAAAAACAAATACAACAAATAAAAATTAACTGATCACAAGCAAAGAGATGATCCACATAAAGAAACTTCCCAGAATGTTAAAAAGACCTCAGAGAGGATCAATTCTTCAGACAAGTCCCAGAATCCAGCTTGTTTGTTCCTGGTTCAATGCAAACAAGTTGTGCATAGAGATGACCCCACACCATCAGCCAAGTCACCCGCAACAAAGCCCTGCTGTCACCCTCGAGCCCCAACAAGTTCTTAGAAAAACCAAGTTAATGTGAGCTTTCCGAGGGGTGCCTCTGGGGTCTGGTTTGTGAGCTCTGGAACATTCCCTGTGGTTGGTTTGAGTTCACAAGCAGTGTCACGGTTTCTGTCTAGATGTCCCCCAAGAGCCTCATGTGCCCGTAGCCAGGGCTTCTGTAAGGGGATGGACCGTGGGGCTCATAGCTGACTTGCTCTTCGGAAGTGGAGTCGGCTACGGAGAGGTGGGTCACTGGTGGGTCACTGGTGGGTCACTGGCGGCACAGCCTAGAAGGATTTCTCTCCCTCCCCAGCACCTCAGCTTCTCTCTGCTCCCTGGATGCTGTGAGGTGAGCAGCTTTCCCCTCCCAGGCCCTTCTACCATGCTGCTTCTGTCTGGAGCCACCTGACCGTGCAAGGCTTGAAACTTCTAAAAGCACACACGTGGGAATCACAGCTCACTCATGGGCACACACTGTCTCTCAGCGACACCCTTCAATGCAGCATGGCGCCCGAGGTTCTCCACCACTGAGGTTTCCGTCAGGATGGTCCTGCACGTCTCCCAGCGGCTCCCCTCCCACGCTGCCTTCTCCTCTGCTCTCTGGCATCAGCTGCCAGCCTGGCTGCACAAGTCAGAGCCCTGAACCCCTCCCTTCTCACCCATCCTCTCCCCAGTCAGTTCAGTCTTATTTCCTTTCTCCTTTTCTTATTTTGGGAAAAAAACCCCACAAAAATACAAAGGATTACACAGTATGATCCCCTTACCCAGAGTTAGCAACTGTAAAATATTTGGTTATTTTTGCTTCTGATTTAATTAAATTAATTTTTTGTGGTACTGGGGATCGAACTCAGGACCCTTGTGCTTGCGAGGCAGGTGTGGGGCCACTGAGCTAAATCCCCGGGCCTTCTGATTTTATTTTTCTAAACAAATCATCTCCAGTCTCATCCCTCTCCCTTCCTATCAGAGGTAGCCACTAGTATGAGCTCCCAATGTATCCTTTCAGTCCATATTTTTATAGCTATATATACATCAGTGAGAGAATGTATCCACAAACAAGTATGTGGTATTTCTTGTGTCATAATTTGCATAAATACTATACTTTGTGTGCCTTACTTTTCCTACTAAAAATCATAGACATCGTGCTTTTTTGTTTATTTACACTGGGTGTGTGTGAGTGCATGTTGCTGGGGATTGAATCCAGTGACCTTGTGCATGCCAGACAAGCGCTCTATCATTGAGCTACATCCCAAATTCTAAATGCTTTATTAAGTGGAAACATACACAGTAACATTTCAATGTGCACTCTGAGAAATGAATGAGAGGCTTTACATCCTTTTTTGTTTCAATTCTTCCAAGTCCAGTGTGTAGGTTATACTACAGCACATCCCAATCAGCATAATCTCATTTCACCTGCTCAGGAGCTGGACAGCAGGGCTCTAAGGCATGCATTCTCTTGCAGATCTAGTTTGTGCTTTTGAATGAGGAAGGCAACTGCCTAAGAACCAGGACTTCCAGGACTTTGTTTTTACTTTTTTTTTTCTTCTTTTTTGGTATCGGGGATCAAACTCGGGTCCTTGTGCTTGCGCAGCAGGCAGCAAAACCACTGAGCTAAATCCCCAGCAGAACCAGGACTTTGAAGCTGGCACTGCTGCCAGGTTTGGGGTCTTGCTGGAGCAATCCAAGCCTCTTTTCTTCACTTGTGAGCTGGGTTGCCCTTGCTAAAGCCTTTGTACTTTATTGCTGGAGCTAAGCCTTACAACAATCTAGAGAGCCAGGAAAGAGATTCTGAGACCTTTATAGTCATTGCTTCAAGGTCACATGGGGCATAAGAACATAGGCCCACGTCAACCCCAAAATATGGGGTTTTAACCCTGAAGGGCAATTTGATCCAGAGTGGTTTTGAGCAGAGAGCTGAGTGATTCCTGACTGTACTGCTGTGAGTACATCCACCAGCCTTGACTTCCTCACTGCGAGGACCGTACTCCTGGTAGAGGGCTCTGGAGGGACCTTGTGGCGATTCTGCAGGGCCAGTCCGGGCCTTGGTGACATGCGCCGTCAGCCGCCCTGGCCATCAGCTGGGCTGGTTTTCCAGTCCTCTCGCCGGGACTGAGATGGGACAGCGAGGGATGCGCACAGCAAGGCCATCTTTGGGTCGAGGAAGTCACGTGGCCTGTCCAGGGTCACAGGTGCCCTCCCGCCCCAACCACGCTGGCCGCATTCGGCGTTGGGTGATCCTGGAGCCCCGACAGCCTGGCCCAGCGCCTCCTCCTCCTCTTCCTGGGTGGCACAGAACTTGGTGGCCGTTGCCGCCCCTTGGGATGTGGGGGAGGCGCTGGGCGTGCCCCGCCCTGGCAGGTCTCCACTGGGGACCAACTCCCGGCCCGGGTCTTTGTCCCAGAGCGCTCCCCGGGCCCGGAGGGGTCGCCTGAGGAACCTGCTGGGAAGACCCTGTGAGCGATGCACAGGTCCTACACAGCCTTGCCCGGCTAGGGCGCGCCTCATCCCTCGTACCAGGCACCCAAGCATTTAGACATTTCCCCTAAACTCCTGCACATTCGGTATTGGGCAGTCAGGGCCAGCTACATAATTTGTGTGGCCTAATGCAGAGGACTGCCAGGGTTCTGGGCTGGGACTCCGCCTGGTCAATATCTACAGGTCTATTTTCTCACATATAAAGTGACAATAATTGCATCAATCTTTTTTTTTTTGGTACCGGGGATCGAACTCGGGTCCTTGCGCTTGCGAGGCAGGCGGCGGAACCACTGAGCTAAATCTCCGGCCCAATTGCATCAATCTTAAGAGTTTCCCTGGGAAAAAAGAAAAGAAAAGAAAAGAAAAGGACTGGGCCAGGGATTCAGCTCAGCGGTTCTGGCGCCGGCCTCGCAAGCTCAAGGACCCGAGTTCGATCCCTGGTACAAAAAAAAAAAAGTTTCCCTGGGTACATGGAAGTAAGTGCTCAATAATGGGCGTCACCACTTAGCCCTCAGTTCTGGGCCCTGCCTTTCCATTCAGGAGGATGAGACCAGCTCTGCGCTTTCTGCAAGCCTATGACAGCTCCTGAATCTGCTATCAAGGCTTGCTCTTCTACAGCTTTCACCAGTCCAGCTCCTCTCCCAGGAAGGCACCCTCGGGCCCTTCCTGGGTAATGTGTCCCCTCCTGTTTCCATGAAGTCCAGAGATACACTCGTTGTGCCATTTTAGCACCCTGCATTGTCCTGTCGGCGGTAGCCTCCTGTGCCTCCCAAATCCAGCCCTGCTGGCCTCTGCCTCCCCACTTTGGACCCCTGTAGGGGTCTGAACAAAGGAGGGGTGATCCTTAGAACAAGCTGTCATCACTCTTCTCAAACCTTCCTGATGTAACTCATCCCAGAACAGAATCCAAAGTCCCTAGCTTGCCCAGGAGGCTCTCTGCGCCCCTACTTCCGTTTTCCTTAGGGCTCCAGGCACGTGGCTTCCTATTGATTCTTCCACTCTAAGCTCATTCTTACCTCTTTGTACATGCAGTGCTGCCTGCCTGGAAGATCCTTAATCTCCTACTGCCCTCATTTGATCCTCATCAAAACCCCCAAATGGGTACAATTACCGTCCTCATTTTACAGATGCAGAGCCAGGGAGATCAATGCTCCCTAAGGGTTTCCCTCCCCCTTACCTGTAAGAACTTTCCACCTCAGCTCCAGCTCCTCAGTCCACCCCATTTCCTTCCTAATACTCTACAGTTTCTATTTATTATGCTTCCTCCTCCAGAATGTAAGTGCATAAAAACAGGGGTTTGTCTGTTCTTTTCACTCTTGTGCCTCCAAAGCAGCACCTGGCACATGGTTGGCACTGAGGACTTAACTGAAATAATGAATGAATGAATGATGCTATGTCTGTCTCGTCCCTAGACCCAGTTCCAAGTGTGAAGCCAGCATCTTAGTCATCTGTGTGGCTCTCGAGGTAAGTGCCCAATTTACTTTTGTTGACATAATCAAAGAAAGAACTGTGGGCCAGGGATTTAGCTCAGTGGTTCCGGCGCTTGCCTCAAAAGTGAAAGGTACTCAGTTCGATCCCCGGTACCAAAGAACTGCAGAGCCCCAGAATAAGCGGAGTCAAAAGTTAATTATCTTAAAAATGTAAATATTTTAAAATATGTTTATTCTTATATTTTACACTGAGCACTCCAAGAAAGTAATTACAATGATTTCAAAATGCAATCATATTGAACCAAGGAATTCAATTTATGGGCTTCATAATTATACTTAATATCTAGGAATACAGGTAGACACTAAGTCAGCTAATGAATGAGTAAAACAGCTATATTAATATATAAATCACAGGGACAGGTATCATGCACAATCAGGTAAGTCACTCTGTCACCGTGTTTTTTAGTAACATGATTCACATTCATTTCCATCACATATACATCCATTTCAAACGCTAACAACATAAAACTATAATCTTTGTTACCTTAAAAGAAAGTTCAGTTTAAAAATATGAAGAAATTCAAGAAGAAAATTTCAGGACTCTTGATCAGAAGCTTTCAGTGCATATGATACTACTTTGGTGTCAACAAAGGTTCAGGGAAAGGTAAGAAAGAAAAGGAAAGAAGAGACAAGAAGAAAAAAGAATGGAAGGAAAAAAATAGAAACAAGGCTTTTGTAGATAAAGAGGGGAGGAGGCTTGAAGGGAGGGGAGGGAATGGGAAAAAAGGTAGCAGCAAGATGTATCATGGATGGGTACAAATTCCCTATGATGAATGTGATCATCATGTATAGCTAAATGTACCAGTAAAATAAAGAACAAAAGTATTCTTTTTTTTTTTTTTTTTGGTACCGGGGATCGAACTTGGGTCCTTGCGCTTGCACAGCAGGCGGCGAAACCACTGAGCTAAATGCCCGGCACATAAAGAACAAAAGAAAAGAGAGAAGAGTGCTTTCTTTACCAACTGACGACATGATCTAAGAGATGGGAGCTGGCTTTCTGCAGAGCTTCACTAGCTGTCAAGATGTCCCCAGTAAGGGACTCCTGAGGTTAGCAACTGACCACCTTTAGAAGGCCTTGGCCAGTGTTACGAAAGCAAAACACTTAGAGGAATATTTGTGAGTGCGAGCACAATTGGGCTTGTGTGAAACGCCTATGGGCTCCCAGGCTCGGTGCTTGTCAGGCCGGAGATGCTACAGGGGAGATCTACTGATGGACCTTCTCAAAGTATTCTTTGGAAGCTGTTGGATTTGGCTTGATCTGAAAATACAAAAACATTTCATGGGTAACGATGACTTTATAAAAAGTTTCAAATTTGAGCTAAAAAGTTCCCATTTTTTTTTTTTTTTTTGTACCAGGGGTCGAACTTGGGTCCTTGCGCTTGCGCAACAGGTGGCGAAACCACGGAGCTAAATCCCTGGCCCTAAAAGTTCGCAATTTTTAATCTAAAGCTTTTTTTTTTTCTTTTTTCAAGTTTGGTCTGTTTCCTTCCAAACACAGGCATGAAAGCTAACGAACAGCCTGCCTTCTCGCTGGCTCTCTAGCCCTGAGCCCCGTGGCTGCACCCATCTGCACACAATCTTGAGGTGGAGGACCCAGGAGCCTGGGGTGCTTTGGGGAAAAGAACCTACTGTAAGGGAATCTGGTGTCCAGTTTGCTGGGCAGACTTCTCCATGGGTTTCCACAAACTGGAATGCCTTCACCAAGCGGAGGGTCTCTTCCACGCTTCGGCCCACGGGGAGATCGTTGACACTCAGATGCTTGATGACACCATTGGGGTCGATTATGAAGAGACCTCTGCATCAGGATTCATCCACATTAGTACCTCACAGTGCCAGAATTAACAGTCCAAGCTCTACTCTTTTGTCTTTCATTTTCCTTTTAATAAAACATTTATTAAACGTGGCTGTATGCTTCAAATTGGGGTTTTCATTGTTGTACAAAAAGCTTCTCATCTCTTATTAATGACAGATGCCTTCATAATGGCAGGACTGGACTAGGCCATCATGGAAAACATACAGTGTGGTCCCATTTGCAAATTCATAATAGTGTCCTGAATGTCATACACAGTATCTGAAAGCCATAGAACTAGAGGGTGTGAAGGCTTCTTTACTTCTTAGTGACAAAGATGTATTTCCTCTACATCCAATATGTATTAAATGAATGGATGCTTGGGTGAGTGTGGGGGGGGATCCCATGGGAAAAGATGCAGGAAGCATATTCGGTCCTAAGTCTACTGGAGTTCATCACTCTTGACCCTTGACAGTCCATCTTAAAAGAATGCAGGGACTCCAAGTGTTAATCATGCAGGGAAAAAGCAAGTTGAAGAACACTCAAGGCAAAACAGGACTTCTTCTCCCTAAGCCTGGCATCTGGGGGTCTGGCCCCCACTTTTTCTTTTCTTTTTTTTGCAGTATTGGGCATTGAACCCAGGGAGTGCTGAGCTATACCCCAAGCCTCTCCTCCCACTTTTTTTTTTAAGACAGGGTCTTACTAAATTGCCCAGCCTGACCTCAAACATGCAGTTCTCCCACCTCATCCTCCCAAGCAGCTGGGGTTACATGCATGCAGCACCATGCCTGATTGGAGGCCTAGGCTTTGAGGCTGAGGTGGCCCTGCTGTCTGCTCCTACAAGGGGAGTCGGGAAGCAGAGGCAGAGCTGGGAGTGAGCTGGAGACCAACTGCCGGCCTGGCCACTCTCTCTGGTTAACCCCAACTCTGAAAATGGCAGGGGGAACTGAACATCAACCAGACCCCATCAGGAACAGAACCTGAAGGAAGAGCGGCCTGCACTCTTTCTCCTGCCGCTGCCAACTCTGAGGGAGTGGGGCTGTGCTTCAGTCAAGGAAGATGGTGTCTCAAGGGCATAAAAGCCTGCCGCTCCAAGGGCCGCCCAGCACTAAGACCTCAGAAAACTGGGAGTGCCTCAAGGTGGGGCCCTCTCTCCCTGCCTGAGGTCAAGTCCTGCTTCCCCCATTTCTGTTCTCAGTCGACTTCAAGATGCAGCTCTGCGGCCTCATTCCTGTCCCTCCCGGGAAAGCTGCTGGAGACTGACAGCCCTTCACACCCAGAAGAAACTGCAACAGTTTATCCACAGAGTGAGTGACAGTGAGAAGACATTATTCTGGAACAGAACAAACTCCAGCTGCCGCTCCTGTTTAGTCCTCATCACCAACCTGGTAAGTACTCTTCATATCAGTTATGGGAAACTGGGGCTCAGAGAGGTAAACAACCGCCCAAAGTCACACAGCTATTAAGTAATAGAGTTCAAAAGAAAAAAAAAATCACACCCAAGTCTGACTGATTTCAGGGCTTGTAGGAGACTGCCACCAGTCTGGGGCACAGCTGCTTACCTTGGGAGACCCTCCCCTAAGCAATCTGATGCCAGGACAGGCCCCTGAGGAAGGGGCCCAAGAGGCAGACAGAATGGAGCAGTGTGACTATCAAGACACGGACACCCTTCTCTAGGAAGAGACCCAGCTGGTCAGCTGAGCACACACATTTGGCCCTCCCTCCCTTTTTCTTTTTTTGTGGTACAGGGGATTAAACACAGGGCATTCCCACTGAGTTACAGCCTCAGTCCTTTTTTTAAATTTTCTTTTTGGTACCGGGGATCAAACTTGGGTCCTTATGCTTTCGAGGCAGGCGATGGAACCACTGAACTAAATCGCCAGCCCCTCTTTTTTATTTTTTATGTTGAGACAGGGTCTTGGTAAGTTGCCCAGGCTGAGCTCAAACTTGGCATCTGGCCTCAGGCTCCCAGAGTTACAGGCATGGACGACCAGGCCAGGCTTGGCCATTTCTGAAAATCTGCCAACCCTTCAGAAGGCATTTCATCTGAGCTTATGCAGACTGAAATTAGGGATTTTTTTGTTTTTAAAATGTTTTACCAAGACAGGTATGGTGGCCCATGCCTGTATTCCCAGCACCTGTGAAGCTGAGGCTGGAGGATCACTGCAAGTTTGAGGGCAGCTGGGCTACACAATGAGCTCAAGGCCAGCCTGGACTACATAGCAAGTTCCTGTCAGTCAGTCAGTCAATCAATCAATCAATCAATCATTTAATCAATAAATGTTTTACCAAAACAAACAAATTTTTAAAAATTTAAAAGGACAAAATAAATAGAAAAACAACACTAGCGACCAAAAAAGTGCTTTACCAAGGTCTATACATATCCTGAAGAACTAGCATAAGATCTGGCTCTTACCTGAGTGCAATACCAGGACCTTCCAACAGCACACCATAGTCCCGGGAAATTTGTTTAGTTAAATCTGACAAAAGCGCTATGTTCATGTGGCCCAAACCACCGCTCTATAAAAAATGCAAACATGACTAATTATCTGCACTGCTTTCACAATTTTTTTGGGGGGGGGGGCACCAGGGATCAAACTCAGGACCTTGCTGGGCAAGTACTCTACCACTGAGTTGCACACCAAACCCTTTTTCTTTTAGCAGTGCTAGGGGTTGAACCCAGGTCCTCATGCATGCTAGAGAACCCCTTTACATCCCCAGGCCCTTTTTAAAAAAATCTGAGACAGGGTTTTGCTAAATTGCTCAAATTGGCCTTGAACTTTCCATCCTACTGCCACAGACTCCTGAGTGGTGGCTGGGATTACAGTCTGCACAAGCCAATCTGGCAACATTCTTAACCATGTTACAATGTTTGAGACCAATAATACTGGTAACATGGTAAGAGTAACTGAACACAAGTGAATTCTTCCTGTTAACTCACTTCTTCCCTGTAACCATTTTGGAGTAGACACTAATACCACAGCACCCCCCCACCCCCCCCCCCCCCACCCCCCGCGCGCACTTAAAAGTTAAGTATTTTTCTTCAGGTCACAGCTAGAAAGGTGCAGAGGCAGGATTTGAACCCAGTGGATGCTTTAGATAATTTTTTTTTGAGACAGGGTCTCACTATATCATTCAGGCTGGCCCTGAACTATGTAACCCAGGCTGCCCTTGAACTTGCAGTGATCCTCCTGCCTCATTTTTTTTCTAATTCTTGCTGGTCACAGAACAATGCCTCAGTGAAGCATGACTTTTTTTTTTTGGTACTGGTGATCGAATTCGGGTTCTTGCGCTTGCGCAGCAGGTGGCGAAACCACTGAGCTAAATCCCCGCCCATTTTTTTCTAATTCTTTAAAGCATTCTTTGAAGACTAAATTCTTTTTTTTGGTACCAGGGATCGAACTCGGGTCCTTGCGCTTTCGAGGCAGGTGGCGGAACCACTGAGCTAAATCCCCGGCCCTGAAGACTAAATTCTCAAACAAAAATGGAAGAGTAATAAACACTGAATAAGTCTATATCGATAGTCCTACAGGACTGCTAGAAGTTTTGACTTTTTTCCAAGCAAATTTCTAGACAATACCAATCACACAGAATTGTTAAATCATGTCCCACAAGCCACCCAGATGCATGGGATCTACAGAGTGCAGTGCTAGGGGAGGCGATGGATGCCAGTTGTCCCTTGCTCTGCTGAGCCCATCTCCTCTATGGATAGTGCAAGGCAGTGGGCAGTAAATATGCATGTAATGTTAAGAGAAATACAGAGTTTAACAGACTTTGCCAGTAGGTAAGGAACTACAAATAGTTCATTTCGAACTGGCCATGTTTTGACAACTTCTAGCGATCATTTCTACTACATAGTAAGCATGGATGGAAGGGTGGGAGGGGACTGATGGGGAAACGGGTCCCTGCTGGTCAGTGGGTACAAAGTTATAGTTCAATAGGAGGAATGAGTTCTGGTGTTCTATTGCACAGCAAGGTGACCACAGTTACTATACTGTGTATTTCAAACTAACTAGAAGAAAGGATTATAAATGTCCTCCCCACCACAGAATACTAAACACTGGAGGTGATGGATATGTTCATCGGCCTGATTTGATCATTCCATAATATATACATACCCCATAAATACATATCGCACATTTTTATTGTGTATGACATGTGATTTGCTAACCAAAATAAACTTTAGAAAAGAGCAGAAGTGCAAGGGAAGGCGGATGGTGGCATACCTTCCTTGGTGTGTTGATCCAGGCAAGATGGGTAAAGTGGGAATCCACTGAAACCGCAACAACTTCACAGTTCACATCGTGAAACTCATTAGCTTTGTCACTAAAAGCAACAATTTCTGTGGGACACACAAAGGTGCTTGAAAAAAAGAAGCAGGGAGTCTGATCACAATATAGAAAGAGGAACTTAAAATGAGAACAATACATCACCTAAGAACTCATCTTATCATCCTTACTTTTCTTGTTTTTCGCCAGTCTAGTGAAGCCTTCAGAGACAGCGTTGTGAACACTGCTCCAAAGCACACGAGATCCAGCCACAGTAAAACTCTACCCTACCTTAATCCGCAGGTGAATAGGGTTAGACAGAGCCACCATGACTAAAGATTGGTGGCTGTGCAAGAGAAAGGAGATGAGGCTCTCTGCCTCTAGCCCTGTGGGCTCTGCCTCACCTCAGCCTCTGCCAGTAAGATGACATCACTAGGTGCTTCGCTTCAATGCGGGGCCCTAGAACTATGAGCCAAAGTGAACCTCCTTTCATTGAAAAAGAAGAGTCCCTCGAAAGGCATGCTTCCCCCAATTAAGTTTGGATTTTGTGCATCAGCTTCGAAGGGGTCAGAGAGAACCCAGCCCTTCCCTAGAATTTTTCAGTGTGGATCTGTGCTTGCTGTCAGAATGACATGAAAGCACCATAGAAATGACACTTACAAGTCCAAAGGATAGAAGAAAAGCACCAAATATTTGCCCCTAAAGTCTTCAAGGCTTAGCTCTTTGAATTCTCCATCGACAACAGCTGTGCCCTTAAAGGAGGGCGCGTCCTGGGTGACAGCAGGAGCACGGCACGAGGAGCCTGGAACAAACCCGCACCGCAAGTGGGTCACATCATTCACAGCTTCAAGCACCCATTCATTTTATTTAAACTTCTCATAGATTTAGATAATTCACAATATAAATTATTCCTAGCAGAAATCAATGAAAAGATTCAATTCAACTATACATCTTAGGAACAGTAAGGCAGGAAGATCCCAAGTTCAAGCACAACTTGGGCAATTTAGTGACTTAGCAATATCTTTTCTCAAAATAAAAATAAATACAAAGGGCTAGAGATGTAGCTCAGTGCAAAGGTTCTGGGGTCAATCCCCAATATTGCAAAAAAAATTTTTAAAGAAGAACAAAACACTCCAAAAGGAACAGTAATTTTTCTTTCCACAATTCTAAATTATACACAAATTTAATTCAAAGGCTATGGAAAAAATTTAAGAAAAGAACAAAAAGAAAGAAAAACAAAAATTAAAAAAAGTGCTAAAGTAGCACACCTGTAATCCCAGCACTTGGGAGGTCGAAGTAGGAAGACTGCTATGAGTTCAGGGCCAGCCTGGGCTACATACTGAGTTTAAGGCTTGGACTACATAGTGAGATCTGTCTCAAAAAAACAAAAATAAAAACAACAAAAAAGAAATGCTATGGAAACTAGAAAGAGGAAGACAACGAGAGTAAGGATGCAGTGACGATGGGATTAAGGAATACATTAGATTTGGACATGATTTTTTTTTTTTTTTTTGAGACAGGGTCTCACTATGGAGTTCAGGCTGGCCTTGAACTCACTATGTAGCCCAGGCTGGCTTCAAACTCATGGCGATCCTCCTGCCTCAGCCTCCCAAGTGCTGAGATTACAGATGTGCAATACCACACCCAGCTGGAGATGGATTTTAAATATGATAAGATTTTGTCAGGTCTACATGGGATAGGGCAAACAGAATAGAGGAAAGGCAGGAAGAGTGGCTGGAGGAAGGCACACGGTGCCTAGCTTGATTGTAACGGGGTCAAAGGATGTGGGGGGAAGAGGGCAGGGCACACACCAAGAGAGGCCCAGGGCAGGCCACGCAGGCCCTTCAGTATCAGGCAGCTGAGTCTGGTCTTCATGGGAGAGATTACAGGGAGTCAGGGGAGGATGGGGGCGGGTGGGGCACAGAGGAGACAGCTGTTTTCAGGAAGATTGGTCTGGAAGGAGAGTAAGACTCATTAAGTGGTGATTTCCATTATCTCAGTGAGAGGGACTGAGGTATGGCAGAGAGAATAGGAAAAAAATGTAAAAACTGGAGAGGAGAGCTGGGGACGCAGCTCAGTGGGACAGCACACACCTAGCATGCATGAGGCCGTGAATTCAATCCCCAGCAAAACCAACAGACAAAACCCAATTGGAGAGGGCCTGCTTGCTTCTACTTAGAATGAAGACAAAGGAGACCCAGTGCCAAACTGCTAGAACCATCATGACAGACACGAGCGGAGCACCCCCTCAGTACTGGAAATGTTTTTAGAATTTCACAATTTTAAAGAATATTTCACCAAGAAACCCTCTAGCATACTCCCTTAAACCATATGCATTAAACACAGTACATGCTTTTCAAATGTAAGGCAAATCTAAAAGGTATTTAAGCACCACTGGTTATCTGAGGTTGATCTTGGCAAAGCTGCAGCCTAGAAAACCGAGTGGAAAGGCTAAGCTTGTTCTGATCACCAAGGAGCCACTGGACCGATCTGGTGATTGGCTCCCTGAAGGCAGTCCACCATTCACAGCCCTTCACACACCAAAGGCCCTGAAGGCACCTGAGTTCATCCCTCACCCTCAGGACCCTCAACGTGAAGGAGTAACCCTCTGGCAACCAACACAGAAATCTGACATAGACAAGACCATTTGCCCCAACAATTCTCGGCCTCGGCTGCACAACAGAATTACCCAGTGAGGTTTTAATTTTTTCCCCTTTAACACAGTATACATTTGCAATACATAATAAATGCATTCACTGTAAGAAATTGGTACATACACATTATCACATCTTGATCCTTTTTACTTCCGCTTCTTCTCTACTTCCTCTCATCTTCCCCCATCCCCATATCCCTTTAAAAAACACTGAAATCCTTGTCTCATCCCAGAGACAGACTTTTGTCTGGAGGTGAGATTGGAGTAGCTATGTTTCTGTTTGTTTATCTATTTGTCTGTCTTTTTATTCTTCAGTGGTTTTTCTTTTCTTTTTTGTGGTACTGGGGATTGAAGCCAGGGCTTTCACACTGAGCTACAACCCCAGCCCTTTTTTATTTACATTTTTTGTTTTTGAGACAGTTTCACTAAGTCGCTCAGTTAGCCAGGCTGAGCTCAAATTCATGATCTTCTTGCCCCAGCCGCCTAGAGCACTGGAGTTTTAGGTGTGTACTGAGTTGTAATTCTTTAGATATCTTAGATAATAATCCCTTTGTTAAATACATATTCTATGAGTATTTTCTCCTAGGCTATAGCTTGTCTATTCATTTTCTTTTTCATGTTTTCCAATGGGTAGATCTTAAAATTTCGATAAGGTCAACTGATTACCATCTGGAGACAATTCCCCATGGAGCTGGAATTTCTACACATCCTCCTGCTGTTTTTAAAAGCTCTGAGGTGAGTTTAATGTATAGCCAGGGTTCAGAGCTACGGTCCTACCCGGTGACGATGAATTATGTTCCCTTTCCTCGAGTCCAATGAAGGCTAACACTTACTGGTGCTGAAGGTGAACGTGGCTTGAGGAGACCCTGACCACGGGATCTTTGTCAAGCATGTTCTTCTAGAAGCAAGAGGTCCAAGGGCTGCAGAGGCAGAAATGCCCCGAGAAATTGTGCCTACATGTCGAGCAACCTGGAAAGGAAATACTTTATATGAGGAAGGGTAACTGTAGGCTGGCCCTGCTGAAAGGGCATTGTGACAATGGTGGCCTCAGCTATCCCTGTCCCTGTGAACCAAATACCAAACCCACCAACTCCAAGAGCATGGATTGAGTCCTCATGCTCTCAACATTCGCTTCTGCTTCTTTCTCTTGGAGTACTGCAAAGCAGAGGGGAACTGTAAAACTACAGACCCAAGAACCAAAAACTCTGTGCTCTTAGTAGTTACACAGAGGGTTAAAAAGTCAGGGAGTCTTTGTCAGGCCCCGAGTGTCTGAGCCCTTTCCCTGCATTATCTGCTGTGTGCATTTTACCATGTCAAGGTTTTCCTCAGAAAAGACAAGGCCCTTCCAGCCCCACAGATAAGCAAACAAGTAGGGCAAAGTTCAGCCTCTGGAAAAGTTTGGACAGGGCTCAAGGGAAATGCTTGCTCAATTTTAATGTCCAGCATGACGCAGGAAGGAGAAAGGCCTGCTTTGAACCTTTCGATGAGAAAGGAGGGAAGGGTGGGTACCAAGAGGGCACTGGGCTGCGCCCTGAGGAAAGCAGGTAACGGTGGAGCAGGGCGTGGGGGTGGGAGGAGAAAGCGGCTTTTGTTACTGTAGCACTTTGTTTCCACCCAGCATTTAAGAGGGTGTCTTCTACAGCAACGCCTCTGTGCAGGTACCCATCACTCTTAACATCCTAAAGGAAGGAAAGTAAACCGAGGTGCAGAAAGTCACTTGTCCAAGGTCATAGAGTCGGTGACAGAAGGGGAACTAGGACGCCTCCCTCCAGCGCCAGGACCAGGTGCTTGGGTGCAGATGGGGCTGGGGACCCGCGACTCGGAGCACCAGGGGATTCGGGATGGACCTTGAGCGGGGGTGGGGGTAGGGGTGGGGGGGGGGGATGGGGGGACGGGCTGCGCACGCGCAGAGAGCCTTTCCCCGAGGGAGAAGACCCCTGGGTCTGTTAGCCGATGCCCCACTCCAAGAGGGCGATTGGGGCCCAGGAGAACGCACTCTTCTCTGGGAAGCAGTTCAGGAGCCACCGCAGTGTCTCTGTGCCTGTCCCCACCAGCAGCCACTCACCGAGGCCCGGAGCAACCTTCCCGCTGCAGCCGCCATCTTCCACGCACGCGGAGCCGCGGGGTGGGCGGGGCCTAGGGAGGGGCGGGGTCTCAGCGGGAGGGGCCGGGAGGAGCCTCCGCCTTGCTGCCTCTTGGGGACCCGAGGGGACGTTCAGCCGCCTGCCTTCGGAGTGACTGAATGCTTGTCTTCCTGGTTGTTGCCCCAACCTAAAAAGAATCAAGGCAGGCAGGAAAGTGGCTATTTATTCCTATATTTCTTGCGAATTTTTGTTCTTAAATTAGCCTTTTGTGGATTACTGCTTCTATTTTGTCTGTGAAAAGATCCTATGGGATCCTTTAAGATAGGATTTCCTATTTCGGCCTCAGGAAGAGCTTTTTGGCTTCTGCATGAAATTGAATTAAATTTTTTTTTTCTGGTTTTGAGGATTGAACCCAGGGCCTTCACACTGAGCTACATCCCCAGTCCTTTATTTTTTAAATTTTTATTTTGAGACAGCCTCTCAATCGCTAAACTGCTCAGGCTGGATTTGAACTTGCAATCCTCCTGCCTGAGCCTCCCAGAGTGCTGGGCTTACAGATGTGCGCCACCACACCTGTCTGAAATTGAATTAATTAACTCAGCTTCAGTCAATTAATAAGCAAAGTGGCTCAGATACATCAAAGGCTTGTTTGTCTGAAAGCCTTTGGAATTGTGTGTATGTGAGGGGCTTTCATTTTGGCCTTTCTTCCCAAAACCGGGAGACTAGAGACAAATTTAAAAAATTCTTTTTGTCAATTAATAAAAAAGTGCTCAGTGGTGAACAAAGTACTTTGAAGTAGTACATCAATCATAGATTGAAAACCACACAGTGGCTTCATGATAAATGTGACAAATTGTAGTTTCTGAGTCTGTATTTTCCAAACACCCATCACCACATTACAAACTTAGTTTCTCAAATCTGCATATCACCTGAGTATCATTTACTATTTACTTTAAGCTAACTCACTTGTAAAAAATTTAAATAGGGCCGGGGATCTAGCTCAGTGGTTTTGCTGCCTGCTGCGCAAGCTCAAGGACTCGAGTTCGATCCCCAGTACCAAATAAATTAATTAATTAATTTAAATAACCCAGGAGTGGTACTATACACCTGTAACCGCGCTACTCAGGAGCCTGAGATGGGAGGATTTCAAGCCTAAGGCCAGTTTGAGCAATTTAGCAAGACTGTCTCAAAATAAAAAAATCAATGTGGGGGGCAGGGATTATAGCTCAGTGGTTCCGCCGCCTGCCTCACAAGGACCCGAGTTCGATCCCCGGTACCAAAAAAAAAAAAAATCTCCATGGTCCAAGATCCCCACTGTAACCTGGTCCCTTCGTTTCTCTGAGTGCTTCACAAGAGCAAGGCCTTGAAATCACAACGTCCTAAGTTCAATCCCAGAACCCCAAAAACCAAAAAAAAAAAAAAAAATCAAAGGGGGATAGGGGTGTAGCTTAGTGGTGCAGCACTGCTTAGTTCAACCATAGTACCCCCCCCACACACACATCCATGCATGCACACAGAAAGCAAATTAATTTATTTGAAGGAAAATATTAAATTACTTAAATGGAAAAACCGTATACAACTCACTACAAATAGAAAGTAATTTAAAATAAATGTATTACAACAAAATGTTATAAAGTTGCAGCCTGACACAGTTGTCTGCTGAAAGTCTGAACTTTTTGTTAAAAAGGGAGAATAATAGAGGTGGTCAGAGATCTGGTACCCTCACATAAACCCTGCTTGTTGATATAATCAGGATAAAAGAGATTTAAAAAGACAACAACCTTCTCATGGGCTGGGGTGTAGCTCACTTGCGTTGTATGCACAAGGTCCTGGGTGTGATCCCCAGTGCACGCACGTGCGCGCACACACACACACAAAACCCCCTCACCTTTCTCATCTTGAGATTTGATGTTATTCATTTTTACTCCCTACTCCCCTAGCAGTATATTCCCTAAATCTGTCTCAGGTACCATCAAACGCCACCCTAGGTACTTGCCCCCTGCTTTGGAAAGAACTGCCTTAGGCAAAAGGGGACATGTTTTCAACCATTTTCCCTCAGTATGTACCTTATGCTTAACTTGTGTTTATTATGTATGTGTTGAGCAAATGATTAAAAATAAAGGGCATCATGCAGTTGGAGCACAAAATCATGGTGTAGTCTATAATAGAATGTTATCCGGCCATAAAAAGGAATGAAATACAGGTAAATACTAGAACAGAGTGACCTTGAAAACATTTGTAAATGAAAAAAGCCCGGCAGGAAAGGTAGTTTCTGACAGTTATTTGTGGCGTTTTTTGTTTTTTGAGACAGGGTCTCACTATGTAGTTCAGGCTGGCCTTGAACTCACCACTGTAGTCCAGGCTGGCCTTGAACTCACAGCAATCATCCTCCTTCAGCCTCCTGAGTGCTGGGATTACAGCCATGCACCACTATGCCCAGCTCTGACAGTTATATAAGGTGTCATATTCAGTCATTTGTTACTTCCTTTCTTTGACATTTATTCAGTGACTGTTAAGTAGGAAACATAGTTAGGCAGCAGGGGAGACCACAGGGATGAGTAAGACATGCAAGCCCTTCCTTTAAAACAGCTTCTGGGCTCTTACGACCAGCCAGTCATGCATACAAGAACGTGGAATAGAAGACAGACCAACTTGAGAAGTACAGACTGCTCTAAGAAGGATGTTTTAAACTGTTTGGATCCAATCTTGGCAAAATCTATCAACTACCACTTTCACTCCCCATGGAAGGTGCATAAATTGGCACAGCGTTTCTGGAAAGCATTTTGGCAATATGCTCCAAAGCTGAAAGAAATTGGACATGGTGTGGACACCTGTGATCTGAACACTCTGGGGGCAAATGCAAGAAGATGACAAGTTCAAGCCCAACCTGGGCAATGTATCAACTTGGTGACATCTTGTCTCAAAGTAAAATAAAGGGCTGAGAATGTAGCTTAGTGTGAAGATACTGGGCTCAATTCCCAGTGCCATGAAAAAAAAATCATAAAAATTCTCACAATTCTCATAGACATTTCCCTTCTAAAAATATATCTTAAAGGGCTGGGGATTTAGCTCAGTGGTTCTGCCACCTGCCTCTCAAGCGCAAGGTCCCGAGTTTGATCCCTGGTAACCCCCCCAAATATATATCCTAAAGAAACAGATAAGAATGTATACAGGGCTGGAGATTTAGGTCAGTGGTTCCACTGGCTGCCTCGCAAGCACAAGGTCCTGAGTTTGATCCCTGGTACCAAAAAAAAAAAAAAAAAGAATGTACACAAAGACTTAGCTATAAGGATAGATAAAGATCACATTTATTGGTTATAATGTAAACATAACAACATAAATTTCCAACAGTAACAGATTGATTAAACCATGCCTGGGCAAAACAATTTTTTTTAAAAAAGAAAGACTTGGGATGTAGCTCAGTAAGAAGGCCCTGGGTTCAATCCCCAGTGTGAAAGATTGAAAGGAAGGAAGGAAGGAAGGAAGGAAGGAAAAAGAAAGAGAGAATTAGGTATTCAATTTTAAACTAGGATAGGTATAAGAGATCATCAAGTCAGGCATAGTGGCACATGCCTGTCATCCCAGCACTTGGGAGGCTGAGGAAGGAGGATCGGTGCAAGTTCAAGGCCAACCTCGGGTACATAGTAAGTTCAAGGTCAGCCTGAACTGCATAGCAAGACCCTGTCTCAAAAAAAGGAGATCATGAAGAAACAAAACATGATTTTACACTTGATCTTAGCCAAAAGGCCGAGAAGCAATAAAAACGTGATTTTAAACACTAGTTGGAGGCAACAGTAGAAGATTTGTGATGTCACACAGGACTGACCACCAAGAGCGTGAGGTGGGTGGTTTCTGTCTTAGGTGTCCAGGGAGAGGGGTGTCACTGGGGATCAGTTTGTTTTCTTAAACTGTTTTTCAGTTTGTTTTTAGCTGGGTCATTAACCAGATTCGTCTGGATGGCTGGGCTAGGTGCTGGGGACAGCACTGTGAGCAAGACGAACACAGTCCTTCCCTGATGGGGCTGCTCTTCTAGGACCCTGACCAATCCCAGTACCCAGAGGAACTGCCATTGTCAATGTATGGTCAAAGAGCACAGCCAGGGCCAAGACGGAGGATGGAGGACACGGTCGTTAGGGGTGTCCTCTTGATGAGGGGGACAACAGAGCCAAGGCCTAGTAATGAGGAAGAGCCGGCCAGGTAGGAGTCTCACTCTAGAGATGTGGGTCCGAGGGATACCCGAGAGATGCCCGTGAGTCTGCTTTAGTCGATGCAGTTGTTATTTTTTTTTCCCATTAAGTTTATTGGTACATTTTAGGTACAAAATACAGTTACATTCATCATTGGGATCTTGTACCTTTACATGAGTATCTTGGTTCTTATTTTTTTCCTCTTCCCCGGCCCTCCCTTCACCCCCTCCACCCCTCCCTATTTGCAAAGACTTTGTTTCCATTTTTTTCCTTTTCTCATATTTTTTCTTTTCCCTTCTTTCCTTTCCCCT